CTCCTGAGCTCAAGCCTTGGCCTCCCAAAGTGCTGGGAATGTAGGCGTGAACCACTGTGCCCAGCCTTAAACCAGTACTTTTCTATTAGATTATTTAGACATATACAAGTGACATTGATGTTGACCACCACCCACTCGAAAAAAGGCTGGATACTCAAAACAGATGATGTCTGAGTCTGTGTCATGTGCTTGCAGCAGACAGCCTTCGTTCCCACAAGCACCCACGCGTGCCATGTGCACTGCTTCTGCTGCCGTACGAGGCACAGTGTGCATCTGTGTGACTGTGGAATACACAGGGATCCACTCAAAAAACAGATGAGTGCTTTTTTTTATGAATAGTGAACTAGGGCTAGTATCTTGCAGGAATAAAATTAACTTAGATGAGGGACCCATTTATGCAATGTTATCTTTTTGGTTCTTGGTCATGTCACCACTTACAGCATGCCTGCTTCTCAGTAAGACACCCTTTTGAGCACATTACTAGTATTACTAGTATTCTTTCTCTCTTAAGTAAGGTTGTCCCCAGTTCACAGATGAAGGCTCAGAGTGTCATGAAAGTTAGAGGACCCAAGGCGCACGACTGGTGAGTCCGGAGCTGGCTCTGTGGTGTGACGCACCTCCTCTGCTTGTCGAACAAGGCCGGAGTCTCTGTATCAGGCATGGGCAGCAGAGTCTGTCTTGAACCGAGCTGAGTGTCTGGACGTCCAGAGTGCTTCCTCTTCTGAGCTTAAGTCTTCACAGCGCGGTGTTTGTGACGGTGCCCGTCCCCAGTAGTGCCTCCTCCCACTGCCCTGAGGAGTTAAGTCACATCTGCTGTTCGTTACCCTAGCTGTGTTGTCTGTTGGATGTGTCATCTTTGGGGTGAGTTTAGTCTACTGGGAAACCGGACACTGAGACCATGTGTTCATTGAGTGATGCCTCCTCTACCAGCCGTCATCCTGAGCCAGTCAGGGCGGGTCTGAGAATGAATTCTCTCACTTGTAGCATGAGGTCATTAGCTTTCACTAATGACTCTCGTGTTCTTCTTTTCAAACATTGAACCTGTTATCAAGCAAAAATATTACGCATAATCCCAGCACATAAAGCCCAGGGTGCTGCTCTGAGGAGAGGATGGAAGGAGGGTGTCTGGGCTGAAGATCTGTAGATGGTTTCTTCAAGGTTGCAAGGGGCTGCAGGGCTTGGGCCTGGGACAGACACTGGGTGGGGTTTCTGTCCTTCGGCGTTATCTAATCTGGTCACTGTAGTATTTTATAATCAGTTTTGGCTCTTTGTTTTGGGGGGTCTCATGACCCTCTACACATCTGATTCACTAGAAGGACTCACAGAACTCAGTCTCACAGCTGCAGTTTATTCCAGCAAAGGGTACAAAGCAGGATCAGTAACAGAAGCAGACAGATCAGGTGGAGGCTGAAGAAAGCAGGAGTGGCTGTATTAATATAAGATAAAGTCAACTTCAGAGCAAAGAATATTGCCAGGGAGATTACATAATAATAAGAGTCAAACCACCGCCAAGAAAACATCGCAGTGCTAAATGTTGATGCATCAAACAACAAGGCTTATATATTTGAAGGAAAGACTAATAGAAGTAAAAGGAAAGTGAACAATTCCACAGTTACAGTTGGGGATTTCAACACTCCTTTTAGTAACTGACAGAACAAGTAGACACAAAATCAGCAACAGTAGAAAAGAACTGAACACCACCATCGACCAACAGGATCTAACTGACATGTGTAGGATACTCTCTACCCCACAACAGCAGAATATATACATTTTTCAGATTCCCATGAAACATTCACCAAGACAGACCATATCCTGGGCCATAAAACTCACCTCAACAAAATTTAAAGAACTGAAATCCTATGGAGCGTGTTCTCGAACCACAATGAATTCAAACCAGAAACCAGTAACAAAAAGATAACAAAAAAATCTCTATATGCTTGGAAATTAGCACACTTTTAAATAATCCTTGAATCGAAGAGGAAGTCTCAAGGAAAATTAAAAAATACATCGAATTGAGTGAAATGCAAATATATCAAGATTTGTGGTATACAGTTAAAGAAGTGCTGAGAGGGAAGTTGACAGCACTGAAGACTCACAGCAGGGTCTCCTGCTGTCTGCACCTGTGTCCTCAGACAAGCTGAGGGGTGTCCTGCAGGAACCACCTCGATACGTTTGGGCTCTATGTCCCCACCCAAATATCATCCCAAATTGTAATCCCCATAACCCCCACGTGTCAAGGGAGGGACCTGGTGGGAGGTGATTGGATCGTGGCAGTGGTTCCCTCATGATGTGATAGTGAGTTCTCACGAGATCTGATGGTTTTATAAGGGGCTCTTCCCCCTTCGCTCTCTCTTCTCATTCCTGCCACCTTGTGACGAAGGTGCCTGCTTCCCCCTCACCTTCCGCCATGATGGAAGTTTTCTGAGGCCTCCCCAGCCATGTGGAGCTGTGAGTTAATTAAACCTGTTTCCTTTATAAATTACCCAGTCTCAGGTATTTCGTTATAGCAGGGTGAAAATGGACTAATACAGTACACTGGTACTGGTAGAGTGGAGCACTGCTAGACAGAGACCCGAAAATGTGGAAGTGACTTTGGAACTGGGTAACAGGCAGAGTTTGGCACAGTTTGGAGGGCTCCGAAGAAGGCAGGAAGATGTGGGAAAGTCTGGAACTTTCTAGAGACTTGTTGAATTTTTTGTTTGTTTTTTGAGACAGAGTCTCACCCTGCTGCCAGGGCTGGAGTGCAGTGGTGCAATCTTGGCTCACTGTGACCTCTGCCTCCTGAGTTCAAATAATTCTCCTGCCTCAACCTCCCGAGTAGTGGGATTACAGGCACCCACCACCATACCCAGCTAATTTTTTTGTATTTTTAGTAGAGACAGGGTTTCACCATGTTGGCCAGGCTAGTCTCAAACTCCTGACCTCATGATCCGCCTATCTCAGCCTCCCAAAGTGCTAGGATTACAGGGGTGAACCACCGCGCCCAGTCTGTTGAATGGTTTTGACCAAAATGCTAATGGTGCTATGGACAATAAAATCCAGGCTAAGGTGGCCTCGGAGTTGAGGAACTTGTTGGGAACTGGAGCAAAGGTCACTTTTACTGTACTTTAGCAAAGAGACTAGCCGCATTTTGCCCCGCCCTAGAGATCTGTGGTACATTGAACTTGAGAAAGATCTGAAATTGGAGTTTATGTTTAAAAGGGAAGCACAGTATAAAAGTTTGGAAAATTTGCAGCCTGATGATGTGATAGAAAAACCCACTTTCTGGGGAGGAATTCCAGCTGGCTGCAGAAATTTTGAATGTCAGTCACCAAGACAATGGGGAAAACGTTTTCAGGACATGTAGGAGGCAGCCCCTTCTATCACAAACCCAGAGGCCTAGGAGGGAAAAATGGCTTCCTGGGCTGGGCCCAGGGCTCGTCCTGCCCCCGCCACCCTTCCCCACTTTGCGCAGCTTCCGGACTTGGCGCCCTGCGTCTCAGTCGCTAAAAGGGGCCAACATATGGCTCAGGCTGTTGCTTCGGAGGGTGCAAGCCCCAAGCCTTGGTGGCTTCCATGTGGTGTTGGACCACCTAGATTTCAAAGGGTATGTGGAAATGCCTGAATGTCCAGGCAGAAGTTTGCTGCGGGGGTGGAGCCATCATGGAGAACCTCTGCCAGGGCAGTGAAGAAGGGAAATAGGGGGTTGGAGCCCCACACGCAGAGTCCCCACTGGAATACTGCCTAGTGGAGCTGTAAAAAGAGGGCCATCCTCCAGTCAGCTTGCATTGTGTACCTGGAAAAGCCACGGACAATGCCAGCCTGTGAAAACAGCCAGGAGGGGGACTGTACCCCGCAAAGCCACAGGGTGGAGCTGCCCAGGACCGTGGGAGCCCACCTCTCGCATCAGTGTGACCTGGACGTGAGACACGGAATCAAAGCAGGTTATTTCAAAGCTTTAAGATTTAATGGCTGCCCCGCTGGACTTTGGACTTGCATGGGGCCTGTAGCCCCTTTGTTTTGACCAATTTCTCCAGTGCCTATACCCCTATTGTATCTAGGAAGTAATTAACTTTTTTTTTTATTACACAGGCTCATAGGTGGAAGGGACTTAACTTGTCTCAGATGAGACTTTGGACTTGGATTTTTGAGTTAATGCTGGAATGAGTTAAGACTTTGGGAGACTGTGGGGAAGGCATGATTGTATTTTGAAATGTGAGGACCCGTGAGATTTGGGAGGGGCCAGAGGCAGAATGATAAGGTTTGGCTGTGTCCCCACCCAAATCTCATCTCCAGTTGTAATCCCCATTATCCTCACATGTCAAGGGCGGGACCTGGTGGGAGCTGATTGGCTCATGGGGGCAGTTTTCCGCCTGCTGTTCTTGTGATAGTGAGTGAGTTCTCACCAGATCTGATGGTTTTATAAGGGGCGTCACCTTTTGTTCTCTCATCTATCTCCTGCCTTCTTGTGAAGAAGGTGCTTGTTCCCCCTTTACCTTCTGCATAACTAAGTTTCCTTAGGCCTCCCCGCCATGTGGAACTGTGAGTCAGTTAAACCTGCTTTTTTTAAAAATAAATTATGCAGTCTTGGGTATTTCTCTATAGCATTGTGAAAATGGACTAATACACACCCTAACTACCTTCCTCACCCTCCTACCCCACAGGGGTCTCTCTCCCAGCTCCAGGGGTGCCCTGTGCATCCTGAGAAGGCAGCTCCCCCGGCCCTTCAGGGTCCGACCTTGGGCATCCTGCTGGGAGACTGGGAGGCAGGGGGGCTCCAAATTGGCAGTTCAACAAATGTTGCAACACATGGTTTTGTTTTCTTTTTCTATTTTAGCAGGTTCTTTTTGGTGGCAGGCTGAGTGGGTTTTATAATTGTACCAGTTAAGGGCAGTAGATTTTACAAGTCAGCAGACTCGGACCCCTTCACCTGAGCCTGTGTGTTGAGTGATCTTCTCATGCAATTCTTCATCTGCACGTGTGCAGAGACCATGCTGAGGGCTCTGTGCCCTGTTTTCCAGGCTTTGAACTTGGCCTACTCCAGCATTTACGGCAGCTACCGGAACTTCGTGGGACCTCCACACTTTCAAGTCATCTGCCGGCTCCTCGGCTACCAGGGTATCGCCGTGGTCATGGAGGAGCTGCTGAAGGTCGTCAAGAGCCTGGTGAGTGTTCCCTGGACACGCTTCCTTCTCACAGCCTGAATTCCCTGGGGCCCCCAAGCCAGAGGGTCTCCTCTGCCTGGACTGGGATTCTCCAACAGCTGGATTCATTCAGTTACTTGAATGAATTACTTGAATGAATCATTGAATTACTATTCCATTCAAACACTTCTGACCATATATAGTTTGACACCTCCCTCATCTTTTCAAACTTAAAAGAATGGGTCCAGGTTATTTTAACTGATACACCGAGTTTTTATTTGTATGTATAGAGATGGGGTCTTGCTGTGTTGCCCAGGCTGGCCTTGAACTCCTGGGCTCCAGAGATCTGCCCATCTTGGCCTCCGAAAGTGCTGGAATTACAGGTGTGAGCCACCTTGGTCAGCCTGGATTTAGTTTTCTATACATAACTAACTTTTTATACTTTTTCATCCTTTTTATTATTTTAACAATCTTCTGTGACTGAGACCACGTAAGAGTTTGGTCACTTGGCACAGCCGTTACCCCGTGACCCAAACAGGTCCTTCCAGAACCCGCTGGGGACTCTGTGCCAAAACATGTGGCAGCTTGGAGGGTGTCAGGATTGCGGACCTCACCACAGCCGGGCTTGGGGCAGCACCAGGAGCACAGATGGCGTCCTGGGGGACCCTGGAGCTGGCAGTGCTCACCGTGCTGGGGGCACCCCTGTAGGAGACACCTGGCGACAAAGCTGTCCCCTCGCTGTGGCCCCGCTTTCCTCTCGAAAGGGGAGTCCAGTTCAGAACGTGAATTCAGTCACGGGAAGCCACCTGGTGGTGGTTGCTCTCTCCAGGGCTGGTTTCGTTCCCCTGCCAGGTGATCCTGCAGCCTCCTCGTTACCAAGCTCTTTCCTAACAGACTTGCTTCAGGGCGTGCGCTGGCCACAGGCATTAGCAGAGCGCAGTGGCGTGACTGACGCAGCCTGTCTCGTCCCCCCGCAGCTGCAAGGCACAATCCTGCAGTACGTGAAGACGCTGATGGAGGTGATGCCTAAAATCTGCCGCCTGCCGCGGCACGAGTACGGCTCTCCCGGTGAGTGTGGGCACCTCTGGGCGTGTGCAGCTCACAGCGCTGTCCGTGGAGAGGTCAGAAAGGAATTCAAGTCAGAAGTTCTTGGGAAGGATTAGATTTGCCATGTGGGAGTAGACAGACAAATGCACCTTACAACCAGGAAGAGGTGTGTTGGGTCACCGTCTGCAGGCGAGGAAGCTGAGGGGCCTGGGAGGTCAGCCTGCAAGAGTTGAGACAACAGATCCCTGAACACCACGCTCCTCCGTGCCCCTACGAAAGAACCGCCGGCCTGATGAGGCGAGAGAGCCGACTGCCGGGTCCTGCTGCCCTGCTGGGCTTGTAGGGGCTTGAGGCTCAGACACAGGCCCACCAAGGTGGTGCAAGGCCTGCCCCTGCCCCCATCCATCTGCAGGTTCAGCTCCGGGGCCCTCAGGCAGGTGTGCTCTTAGGGACAGGCCGCAGGACTTGCTGTGGGCTGGTTTGGGGCTATGCAGTTAAATAGCTTTAGTGATCTCAAAAAGCATTGTCTCATAAAACAGTGACCTTTGTCACGTAACAAAAGTGCTTTTAGCCTCTTACCGGGCAGAGTTTTCTTGAAAGCTGGACAGCTGAACAGTAGCCTTGTGTGGTAAAGTGACTGGAGCCTGCACGTGGGTGACGGACAAGGCACTGTCCTGATGGGCAGTCAGTCAGCGTGGCTGAGATATTGAACACGTGCCCGGGACTTTTTGCTTTTTGGCACCTCCCCAGGGCAGTTGCTGGTGTTTGAGGAGACGATAAGGTCCCCCTCAGCCACCATGGGGAAGTAGCCGTCGGCACGGCCCTGGCTCAAGAGAATCTGATTTCAGTTTATTGTCAGAAAGTAGATGAGGAACGCTGGGATGATGCAACCAATCCTTATGTCGTGACTAGAGATGGAAATTTCAGGTGTTGAGGGGGGAGCCGTTTCCCAGGGTGGCACAGGGAAACCTTGTCAGGGATGACACAGGCGCAGGAGTGTCCCTGCCCCCACCGAGTGGGGCTGAGTCCCCACAGCGGTGCCAAGAGCTGGGAGGGGCGGGCGCAGGGGCTGCAGCTGTAAGGCAGGCGGGGCCGTGTCGGGCTGCTGGTCCTTGGGGAAGGGGCAGTCGGGCAAGACATGCTGGGACAAGAGTTCACGGTCTGCTGAGCCTCCTGCTTGGCTCTTCCCAGGGTAGTTTCGGCCCCTCCTGATGCCACATTCATCGTGCAGTCAGCTGCCGGTTTCTGTCTGGGCTGGAGTCGAAGCTATAGATTGGCTGGGGGAACGTTGGCCTTCTGTCCCATATTTGCACCTTGCGTCTTTTTGTGCCTTATTCCGTGGTCCGGGATGCCGCTGAGATGCCTGCCTTGCTCCAGAGCCGGCATGGTGTTCGGCCTCCCGTTGGGTGCGCTGCAGGCTTCCTAGATGCCCTTTCTCAGATGAGGTGCGGCCCCTTCCATGCCTGTGAAGAGACATTGCATTTTGTCAAATACCTTGTCCGCCCCCACTGGGGATGATGGTGCAGTCTTTATTCTTGTCACGTGGTGACATTTCTATCGTCAGAGCGTTCCCTACAGATACGGGGTTGAGTGGAAAAGAGGCCTCAGCCGAGGCCCAGCGCCACATGGTGTGTGGAGAACGTGCCCAGGTGGTGAACAAACTACCACCGCAGGGAAGATGCTGGGGATGGGACGTGGTGGCCATCCTTATAGCCGGGCTCGGTGGCGGTGTCAGAATGGCAGGTACTCCCGGCTGTGGACCCCGGCTGCTGGGGCCCGGCCCCTCCAGTCCCCCAGCCCCACCTCCCTCCTGCGCCGTAGGCATCCTGGAGTTCTTCCACCACCAGCTGAAGGACATCGTGGAGTACGCAGAGCTGAAGACGGTGTGCTTCCAGAACCTGCGGGAGGTGGGGAACGCCGTCCTCTTCTGCCTGCTGATCGAGCAGAGCCTGGTGAGCCCCCGCCCGGCCCGGCCTCCCCCACCGCCCATGGGGGGGGCTTTCTTTTGTGGGTTCTTCAGTGGGGGTGTGGCAGCAGCAGTGAGGTAAACCTTTTTTTTCGTGACTATTGAGACTTCAGTTTGAATTTGTTCCCTTCAACTGAAAAACAAAAATGTACTGTAGTTCATTGTCTCAAGAATGTTTTTCTGTGTTAACATCATAAAACTTTTATTATGCGATGTTTTCAACACCTAAAGGAACTTATTTGGTGTGCCTGTAAGGTATAAAGAGCACTGCTGCCCAGGAGGGTCTCTGCATGCCTGAGGCTGCTGAGCAGTTGAAGTGTGGCTCAGTGTGACTGAGGAGCTGAGTGCTAAATGTTATTGAATTATAACTGATTTAAATCTAAATGGCTACACGTGCCCCACGGTGGACAGCACGAGAGGCCAGCCTGAAAGGGGAGCCCCTGGGAGCCCACCCCCTCTTAGGACGTGGCACAGTGGACGCTCATGTTTTCGACTGGCCGCCTTTTGTGTGCCATGTGGCTGTCCCTCTGTCCTGTGCATCACAGCAGCTCAGTTGATAACCTCCTGGACCGGGAAAGCCAGTGGGAAATGGGATCTCACGTGGCCCTCTCCTGCCTTCCCTCGTCACTAACGAGGCGGGCAGCTCTGTTCGTTGCGTCGTCTTGTTTCTTTTCCTGTTAAATGCCCCGCTGGGTTCTTCTGCCTACTTTTCTACAGCTCGTCTGTGCAGATCCTTTATGTGATGCACATGTTGTAAATCTCCCATTTGTGGCTTTACCTTTTCACTCTGGTGGTGGTGATTTTTGATAAAATGCTCTTAATTTGGATGTAGCCCTTTTTTTAATGATTAGCACTTTCCGTATCCTTTTTTTTTTTTTTTTAAGACGTTTTCCCTGTCTTGGGGTCATGAAAACATTCCTTTACATTCTCATCTACGGATTTTAAGCTTTGCCTTCTGCATGCAAGTTTGCAGTCCTTCTGGTCTTTGTGTATAATGCGAGAGGCAGAGGAAGCTTCTTTCTCTCTCTATGGAGGCCCGGCTGTCCCTCCTCTAGTGGCGGAAGGGCTCCTCCTCCCATTGCTGACTAGTGGTGTCCCCTGCCGTCTGCCAGCTTTTCATGGGGACACCGGCCTGTCTGCATCCCGCCGGTGCAGGCGTCCGTCTCCCGCCGGTGCAGGCGTCCGTCTCTGGCATCACAGCATGTCTTGCTCATCACTGCCCTAACATGACTCTGGATTCCCGATGTGGCACGTTTCCTACCTTGCTGCTCCTCTTCAGCATGTTCCCTCCTCGGGGCTCTTTGTGCTGCCCTGTTTTGGGATTGGTTTGCCACATGCCCTGGCAAAGCGTTTGGCTTGTGCATGGGAGCGGCACTGCATCTGCAGAGCTGCCTGGGGAGGCCTTTCCTATGTTGTTTCCCAAAGTGGTCTCTTGTGTTCAGGTCTCTGGTAGCTTTGCAAAGGCAGAGTTGTGTTTAGGAAGAACAGGGATAGGGTGGCCTGTACACAGCTCAGGGCATTGCTGTCAGACTGCCAGGGCTCTGGGGACGGAGCCTCTGGACCAGCCGCCTCACACCAGCCTGTACGGTGAAAGAGAATGTGTTGGCTCACATGTCAGGGGAGTCCCAGGTCAGGCATGACATACCTGGGAGCTGACAGCCTCCATCAGACCTGCATCTTCAGCTCCCCCGATCCCTGCACTCCTAGGCAGACCCGTTCCAGGTGGTTTCAAAGAGGGACTGTAGCAGCCCCAGGCCTTCATTGTCCCGGCCACCCACAGGCTCGGCGGGGACCCCAAGTAGCATCCCCTCCCATGCTCCGCTCCCCACTGTGTGAGGGGCACAAGATGGAGAACCCACCAGCGTCTCAGGCCAGCAAGGAGCCAGTGTCCAGGGTGGCCTTGCTTTAAGGATATGTTCCTCAAATAATTGTGAATTGTTAAAAGCCAGACATGTTAGGAAGCATCTCTTTAACTATAATCTCTCGTTATGAATTTTAAATATTGAATGTGGGAATATTCCATTCATAGGCGACTTTTCCTGAACTTACAGCATAAGGCTGTATCTTAGTCCGTTCTGCTATCTTAGTCTGCTTAGTCCGTTTTGTGTTGCTTTAGCAGTGCCTGAGACTGAGTAATTTCTAAAGAAAAGGAGTTTATTTGGCTCATGACTCTGGAGGCTGGGAAGTCCGAGATCAGGTAGCCCATGTGTCAGGGTCGCAGGCTGCTTCAGCTCCTGGAGGCACAGAAGGGGATGTGGGCGTCGCAGAGAGAACAAACATGAGAGGCAGCCTTGCTTACAACAACTGCTCTCGCAGGAACTCATCCATTCCCACAAAAACTAATCCAGTTGTGGGAGAACTGACCCAGTCTTGTAAGAAATCCATCACCTCTCCAGCAGACCACCTTCCAACACTGCTACATTGGCAATTACATTTCACCATGAGTTTTGGCAGGGACAAACCACATCCAAACCATGGCCTCTGTGTATGGCCAAGCCTGAGGATGCCTGTCTGGTCACTGGCCTCAGGTGGGGGAGGTGAGACCCGAGCTTTCCGAATGGGAGGCAGCCGTGTGGAATCGATTTAGAGTGTCAGGGACCCCTTAGGGCTGCTTTCTCTTCTCTCCAGCTGCCCTTTTTGGAAATAAGATAAAATGTCAAAAGCTTTTCTTTACATCAACATTTCTTTTTTTTTTTTTTTTAAGATTGGAGTTTCGTTGTCGTTGCTTAGGCTGGAGTGCAGTGGCACAATCTTGACTCACCGCAACCTCTACCTCCTGGGTTCAAGTGATTCTCCTCCCTTAGTCTCCCGAGTAGCTGGGATTACAGTCATGCGCCACCACGGGCCGGCTAATTTTGTATTTTTAGTAGAGACAGAGTTTCTTCATGTTGATCAGGCTGGTGATCTGCCCGCCTCACAGAGTGGCCGTGAGTTGGTAATTGTAGTGGGTGATGGGGGTTGGGTGTAAAGGAAACAGAGTGGCCGTGAGTTGGTAATTGTAGTGGGTGATGGGGGTTGGGTGTAGAGGAAACAGAGTGGCCGTGAGTTGGTAACTCCCAACCTTAGGTGATCCGCCCGCCTCGGCCTCCCAAAGTGCTGGGATTACAGGCATGAGCCACCGCGCCCGGCCTGACATTCTTTACATACACAAACTCTTGTGGTTCTGCATTTATGTCTATCCCAGGACTCATGGACATAAATAATTATAGAACCACAAGAGTTTGAAGCAGGCAGGATGCAATTTCCTGGGACAATCTCTAAGCTTAAAGGCACCGTTTCTGTGCATTGCCATGGCAACAGTTGGCCCTCTGTTGGCTTCTGGATGGAGTGCGAAGCTGCATTAGAAACTTAGGGAAAGAGAAGCGGAACAGATGGCGTCTGGCCGGCGTCTGGCACTGGATTGACGTTGATGAGTACGGAAAAGTCTGCTTTTCTTCCTCTTGGTCTTAGTTTTGCCATCGCCTCTGGGAGTTCCTCAGAAGTTAAAATCTCATTGTCAGTATTTCTTGATTTTCCAATAGCTGTTTCTTTGTTTAATCATTTCTTTTACTCCTGTGGAGCTTTAAGATTTCAGCATGGCTGTAGGGTAGGAGGCACTGAAGGCCCCACCATCTTCTGCCTGCTCCGTGGGGTGGTGAACGCACTGTGGTCTCAAGAGGCCCTTCCTGCTGGCCTGAGAGCCCTCACCTCTAAAGATGAACAGCAGTTGCTCTATTTTTGACCATCTTTGGGTTCATGGTGGATTTGGGGGGTTCTGCTGTCCTCATGATCCTGGCGGTACATTTTCTCTCTATATATGCGTTATTCTGCAGAATGGACCTTGTGTGGTTTTTATTACCCTGTAAAGGAGTTTGTGACCTGAGAGTAGGCTCAACGTGATGGCCCAGAACTTTGCTTTGGGCTCTGTGGGGAAGGAGTGGATGTGGACAGCAGGACGGGCCTCCCCTACTCCTTCCATCTCCCGTGTTGTTCTGTCAGTGTGATGGGATCTTGTCATAAACTGTGGTTCTGAAGAGTCTGCTGGCAAATTAGCAGGGAAGGATGGGGCGAGAGCTATTAGACTGGTAAATCCGGAAAACAGAGCACACATTCAACATTGGGTCTTACGTGTGTCTACATCTACATTAATTAAATGTAACTAAAATTAAAATTCAGTTCCTCAAGTGCGCAAGCCACATTCCAAGTACTTAATAGGCATGCATGGCTGGCGGCTGCCAGAATGGACAGGACAGACGTAAGCATTTCCATCGTCCTAGAGAAATCTCTTGACAGGCTACTTAACTTTATGCTAAAAAGCAAAGAGGTTCTTTGTTTTCAGCACCAGATCTCTCTCTGTGGCAAGATACCCTTCCTAGCGTGACCTTCTTTTTCTCTGTTCCAGTCTTTAGAAGAAGTGTGTGACTTGCTGCACGCGGCTCCCTTCCAGAACATCTTGCCGCGAGTCCATGTGAAAGGTGAGCCTGCTGACCCCACCAGGGAGTCCAGACTGCCCTCTGTCGGGATGGTGCCCTCTCTGCAGCCGGAGAGCCTAACGGCCAGTGCAGATTGTAGGTTTGGTGCCTGTTCAGTCATACCCAGGGGTAATGAGGGGTGTACAGAACCTAGTTAAATAAGATTGAGAAATAGAGCTGCAATGGTATGATGTCTTAGAATTGCTTCCAAATATTAATAGCATGGGAGCAGGGGAGTTGGATGTAGAGGAAACAGAGTGGCTGTGAGTTGGTAATTGTAGTGGGTGATGGGGTTGGGTGTAGAGGAAACAGAGTGGCCGTGAGTTGGTAACTGTAGTGGGTGATGGGGTTGGGTGTAGAGGAAACAGAGTGGCCGTGAGTTGGTAATTGTAGTGGGTGATGGGGTTGGGTGTAGAGGAAACAGAGTGGCCGTGAGTTGGTAACTGTAGTGGGTGATGGGGTTGGATGTAGAGGAAACAGAGTGGCCGTGAGTTGGTAACTGTAGTGGGTGATGGGGTTGGATGTAGAGGAAACAGAGTGGCCGTGAGTTGGTAACTGTAGTGGGTGATGGGGTTGGGTGTAGAGGAAACAGAGTGGCCGTGAGTTGGTAACTGTAGTGGGTGATGGGGTTGGGTGTAGAGGAAACAGAGTGGCCGTGAGTTGGTAACTGTAGTGGGTGATGGGCACAGAGGCTCATTGTGCTGTTTTCTGCTTTCAGTTACATTTGGAATGTTCAATAAATGAAAAGTGAATATTGAGCAAAAAATCGGTCCAGCTAGTTTGAATTAAAACATTAAATGAGCCAGTTCTGTAAAATAATTTCCAAAGAGAATCTGTATCCATATTAACTTAAAAATCTTTTGTTTTTTGAACAAATGTAAACCTTTGCAATGACTGTTTCGTACAAAGGAGCAGAATAAAGTAAAGTGTTTTTTCTACTGCAGAGGGGGAGAGGCTTGATGCCAAAATGAAAAGACTGGAATCCAAGTATGCCCCGCTGCATCTTGTCCCGCTGATCGAAAGACTGGGGACCCCTCAGGTAACGTGTGCCATGATGGCGGAGGCTGTTGCAAGCTGGGCATCCATGCCAGGCCAGGTGGCCCGGTTGGGAGCCAGACTGGAAGGCATCGTGAAGTCCGGTAGCTGCGCGGCCGCTCAGGCCTCAGTGTTGCAAGTGGGGCGCGTGCCTGGACTGCTTCCCGGGGTGGTGGGGGGTTCAGATGAGCTAACGCCTGGAAAGGGCTTAGCACATCAGCTGGCACGTAAGACTTACACAGAAGACGTCACTTTCACTGTCCAGCCCTTCGTGAAGAAGGCTTTCCCACAGGTGTTATTAGGCCACGAGGCCAGGTGTCAGGGTAGAGTTCTACAGCGATCCAGCTGCGTATGCCAAGTCAGGGCTTCTCAGCCATTTTGGACCAGGTAACTCGATGGTGGGGACTTGGGCCTCCTCTGCATTGCAGGCTGTTTGGCGGCATCCCTGGCTTCCACACTAGAGGCCAGTAGACCCACCCCCTCCACCCAAAACATTTTCCCAAGGCTGGGTGCCGTGGTTCATTCCTGTCTTCCCAGCACTTTGGGAGGCCAAGACAGGAGTTCAAGACCAGCCTGGGCAATGTGGCGAACTCCGTCTCTACAGAAAGTACAAATATTATCCAGGCATGGTGGCATACGCCTGGTCGCCTGAGCCAGGGAAGTCAAGGCTGTAGTGAGCTGTGGTTGTGCCACTGCGCTCCAACCTAGGCAGCAGAGCAAGACCCTGTCTCAAAAGAAAAAAGACATAGAGGATATGGAGTAGCTGGATGCCTGGAGGCCCACAGCCTTCCGCCGCTTGTCCTTTCTGCAGCAAATTGCCATCGCGAGGGAGGGGGACCTGCTGACAAAGGAGCGCCTCTGCTGTGGCCTGTCCATGTTTGAGGTCATCCTGACACGGATCCGGAGCTTTCTGGATGACCCCATCTGGCGCGGGCCTCTGCCCAGCAATGGGGTCATGCATGTTGACGAGTGTGTGGAGTTTCACAGACTGTGGAGTGCCATGCAGTTTGTCTACTGCATTCCTGTGGGGACACACGAGTTCACAGTCGAGTAAGTGTGTGCTCAGAGCAGGACAGAGCCCCAGGGGAGGGGAGGGGCTTAGGGCAGGGTCCAGGTGTTAGGCTAACAAGCGGCCAGCCATGCTCAGGAAGTGGACCAGAAACTCACTGAGCTGCTTTTAAGCCTCCTATAGTGGGAATTCTTACTTGATGCCAAGGAGCTGGCTCAGGACTTTAGTATTCAGGGAGTCTCTGAGCCCACGGCAATTGTATGCACGTGGACATTCATTTTTCTAGGTGGGAGGTCTGTAAAGTCATTCATCACAGAGGGGATATGATCTAAAAAGGGTTAGGAAGCAGCACACCAGAAGAGCCCAAAAAAGGCGTCTACCAAAACCAGGGAACAGCCACCTGCTGCCCGGCATTCTCCTCCTGGCTGTGGAAGGTGACTGTGGCACAGTCAGTCAGTCATGCAGATGGCTTGTCACTGACATCTGGAGACAGACTCAGAAAAGACTCCGTAACGGATCACTCACCTCCCATTGTTTCTGCTGCTTGTTCTAGGCAGTGCTTCGGTGATGGGCTACACTGGGCCGGCTGTATGATCATCGTACTTCTTGGGCAGCAGCGGCGTTTTGCTGTGCTGGATTTCTGCTACCATCTCCTTAAAGTCCAGAAACATGATGGCAAAGATGAGATTATTAAAAATGTGGTATGTGGATGAAAATCTCCCACCATCTGTGGACCTTTTGCAAAAGCGTACTTTCTCTGTGTTGTAAGTTCTCGTTCCTGGGAATGTTTTTCATCCTAGTACATAAGGTGCCACCAACAGAAACTTCCTTTTCGTTCCCAAAATGAATCGAAATATAATTGGCCAGTAAAGCAGTGTTCCATTTTCCTTCTCAAGGTACTTAGATTTACTTCCAGTCTTACAGAATCTGCATTGTCAGAATATTGGCAACTATTCCAGTCTTCGGGCACCCTAGAAGTCAAAGTGTGCTTTCTTGGCCTTTTGTCTTTGTCGCTTTATGGATTCCTCATAGTTGAATTCTGGAAAATACTCAGCCATTATCTTTTGAAATATTTTAGCCTCCCTTCCATTCTCCCTGTTCTTGCCATTCACGACTTCAGTTAGACATATGTTAGACCTTCTCATTCTATTCTCCACATCCCTCTGTTGTATTATTATTATTATTATTATTTTTGAGACAGAGTTTCACTCTTGTTGCCCAGGCTAGAGTGCAATGGCACGATCTCGGCTCACTGCAACCTCCACCTCCTGGGTTCAAGCAATTCTCCTGCCTCAACCTCCTGAGTAGCTGGGATTACAGGTGCCCACCACTATGCCCGGCTAATTTTTGTATTTTTAGTAGAGACAGGGTTTCACCATGTTGGCCAAGCTGATCTCAAACTCCTGACATGAAGTGATCCGCCCACCTCCCAAAGTGCTGGGATTACAGGTGTGAGCCACTGCGCCCACCCCTGTTGTATTAGTTTTCTATTGCTTCCATAACAACAAATCACCACAGGCTTGGCAGTTTAAACACCACTGATTATCTCACAGTTCTCTAAGTCAGATGCCTGGGTTCAGCCAGGCCCAGCTGGGTCCTCTGCTCAATCTCATGAAGCCAGTGTCCGAGGTGCTGTGTTCAGCCTGGAGGCCTTCAGGCTTATGCACAGTTGGCTGAATTACTCCTTGGCAGCTCTAGGACTGGGTCCCCCTTCCTTCTCATGCTTTCCAAGTGACCCCCTCCAGCAATGGTGGGTTGGGCAGTCTCAGCCTCTCGTCTTCTGCCACGTCTCTCCTGCCCCCAGCCAGAGAACATTGCCTGATCATGATTATATTGAGCCCACTGGACAACCCCAGATACTCTCCCTGTCCTGTCCTACAGTCCACAGTCTTAGCCACACCTGCCTAGGCCACGTGGGGTGGAGGCAATGCAGTCACAGGCTCCAGGTCATGGGCCTCTCTCAGGGGCCATTCTACCTCCAACTCCTCCATTTCCGGGGCTCCCAGAGCTGTATCCAGAGTACTGTCTTCACGTGTCTTAGTTAACTCGTTTACTTCAGCTCTAATGTGCTGAGCTTTTACTCTGAAAAAATTATTAGTTCACTTTTTGAAGTTCAGTTAGGTTCTTCTTCAAATCTTCTTGGTAACTGAGTTTGTCTTAACTGAATTTTTTCCATCTCTTATTTCTTTATCCAGTTCATATATTCTATATTCTGCATGTTTTCCTTCTAGTATCTGAAGGTCTTGGAGGTATTTAAAACTTTGCTGTTTCCTTGTGTATTGGGTTATTTGGGAGTCTTTATTTAATTGGACTTAATTTAGATGGCTTTCCCTCCAAGATGTGCATTTGCATCTGCCCATCTCTAGGGGCTGCTGGCAACTGAGGGCCACTTTAGCCGAATTGGAGGTTCCTGGCTTTTTTGGGGTCTCTGGTGTGGTCCCACTTGCTTATGCCTGGGCCGCTCCTCACCCCACTGCTGCTGTTGGCATGTGCCCCCGAGGAGGCCCTGGCTTCCCCCTTACCACCTGCATAGGCAGAACCAGAAATGCTTTTCAAAGTTTTTTGTTTGCGTGTACGTACGTTCTTTATTCCTGTTGTAGTAGGAGGGTCTGTCAGAGTACCCCATCACAGTATTATTTCCAGGCTGGAAGTCTAAAGCCTGTTAGTTGATTGACCTTTCTCCACTGACCACATCATCTTCATCTGGACATCCCCAGTTTTGAGCAGACAGTAGGTTCTTAATTGCTGATGTGGAAGGAACAGGCCTATCAGTTGTGCACATGAATGAATCTACAGCAGCAAGAAGCCAACAGAGGGATTCTAAATTCAAAATATATTCATCCATCCAACCGTTGCATTAAAGATATGGTATGTGACTGGGAGAGCTGGCTCATACCTGTAATCCCAACAGTTTGGGAGGCTGAGGCAGAGGAGGATTGCTTGAGCTCAGGAGTTCAAGACCATCCTGGACAACATAGTAAGACCTTGTCCCTACAAAAATAATTTTAAAAATTAGCTGTGTGTGGTGGTGCACGCCTGTGGTCCCAGCTGCTCAGGAGGCTGAGGTGGGAGGATCTCTTGAGGCTACAGTAAGCCATGATCATGCCACTGCACTCCAGCCTGGACGTCACAGTGAGACCCTATCTTAAAAAAAAAACAAAAAGAACACTATGTGTGTCAATTCCATTTGCTACTATTTTTCTGAGAAAATATAAGAATCCTGACATTTTGAAACACGAAGAATGAATGTTCAAGTGTTAATAGTAAAACATCTCAATTTTCATGGTTGTAGCCTTTGAAGAAGATGGTGGAGAGAATTCGCAAGTTCCAGATTCTCAATGACGAGATCATCACCATCCTGGATAAGTACCTGAAGTCGGGCGACGGGGAGGGCACACCAGTGGAGCATGTGCGCTGCTTCCAGCCGCCCATCCACCAGTCCCTCGCCAGCAGCTGAGGGCACGCGCTGCACTCCGTAACTCAACGTGGCATGCCTTTCTCTCCGTCAGCTATTGAGTGAGATTTTTAGGGACTATTTTTCAGTATCTCTGTACCTGTTAAAGGGGGTGCTTTTCAATCTAAAAGCTTAATTTTATAAAATTATTTTTCTAGACTAAATTGTATATGCTTTTGGTAATTAGGAACTCTGAGAATACTGGCTGCTGATTGTTGCCATCACGTTCTTACAAAATTGTTTTTCTATGGGATGTTCTGGCAGCTCTCTCTCAAAATGCTGCTGTGTTCGTTCATTCACTCATTCCATAAGAAACTTAATACCAGCAAATGTATTAAATCCCTTGCCAGTTACCATTAACTCTAACTATTTAGCTTTTGTTTAGGGATCTTTCTGATGGCCTTTTATGAGCAGTCTTAGTTCTAAGTCATTGTTCCCATCCCTTTTTTGTGTCAGTGTTTCAGAAAATAGTGAACTTGATTCCTCTGCTTCCACTAAATCCAGTTGTGACAAAATCTAACGTGAGATCAGATCGAAAGGTTATAGAAATAAAACTAATGAGATCTATTTGCGTTTGTTTACTTACTATAATCCTGTGCTGCTTGACTTGGCAAGGAACTCCGATTACCCTGAGCTCACATAGCAGGCCAGCTCGGATGTAGGTCACCTCCAGGGCAGAGGTGGGATGGGACCGTGACACCATCTCATACACCACTCACCTCACCAGCACAGGTTTAGTTTTATATTTAGGGTTCTGCAGATAAATAAGGTGTAAAATGGCCGTGGTGGCTGCTCCAGTCTGGATATGAAGAGGCTACTCAGTGCCTCTCTGTTACCTGTGCCTGTGACCTGGCGGAGGCCAGCAGTGTGGGAGGAGGAGATCAGCCAGGCCCAGTGAGTGCTGCACGAAGGGGCTTGGAGCCTTGAGTCCAGCCTTCAGCTGCCCCTGATCCACAGGGTTTGCATGGCTGGAGCTGGTCCACACCATCTGTCAGAATGAAAAACAATCGGTCTAGACTACCAGTAGAGCCATGAACATGTTTGAGAAACTGAATCCATATTTTAAAGTATTAAGGCAATGAGGTTCTGAAAATCCTAACTGAATGGAGAAAAATGTTATGCCTGTTTATTGTAAATGAGTATTACAGATAATCACAAAAGTCCAGCATGATGAACTCAACTCACTTTATGTTGTAGCCTGGCAGGCATTTTACGTTATTTGGAGTATTGCAACCTTCATCAATTTTAAAATTTTCTATGGCTGCCAAGTTGCCATAAAAAGCGGGCCTCGCCTACTTTTCCGTCGGCCTTTGGAAACTGTCCAGAAGCATATGATGCACGGCACAGAAAAGTAGTAAGTGTATGAACCATCCTGTTGTACTGCCAAACTCAAGTGACATGAAGCTTAACAGAACTATTCTTTCTTTATAAAAAGTTCCCTAAAAGTGCTTTTGGTAATGTGAATTAATAACCCTGGGGCCAGCATTCTGCTGCAGATTTAGAGGTGGTAGCTGTGCTCATCTTAGAAACTAGAGAATAGGATAAAAAAGTACTGTAATTTAATTACCAAGTTTTGTAAGGCTTAATTTTATGCCAGATATAAAATGTAATACTTGAGGTATAAGACAATCTCAAGTGCTATAAAACGTTAAATAAGAATTTATTAACCTGTGCATGTTCAATGAGGTCTCTCTCCTCACGCGGGAGAAAACCGGTTCTTATGTCCGAAGCACAGATGTGGGCACAGTGTATAAACAGATACAGTACATCTGCAGCATTAAATGACATGGGAGGAGGCAGTTAGGAAAAAAAAAATCTAAAACAGCTCCTTAGAAGGCCAATAATACAGCTGGGAAAAAGGGAGTTTCCATGCAGCCAGTGGTGAGCTGCATGGGATACCAGCACCTGGCCTGGGAGGCTCTCGGGGGCGATGGCTTGCACTGGCGCACCACTGAGTCACCTCCAGGCAGGAGCCACAGGCTGGAACAGGCAAACACTTTCTTCCCATCACCCAGGTGGAAATTAATTCTGCCAATACTTTTTTTTTTTAAAGACCAATGGTTATGAGTGGGGATAGGTTCATCAGACCTTTTTTATCATTCTACCTTTTCTGCATATGTTTGCAATTTTCCATCAACTTCTTCATAAACCTAGAAACCAAAATATGTAGTAGCCCAAAGGAGCTCTTAAGCAAAGTACTTGGTACAAAGAGACTATATGTTATAAACATTTTAAGTTTGTTCTAAGCATTCAGACTTAGAAAAGAACTTCATTTCAACTTTTTATTATAACATGAGCTAAATTTAAGAAATAACCCTAGTCTTCTATTTCCCAGAGCTGTTCAAAGTCCAAATGACAATATAACTCATTATGAAAATATACTGAAAAGTACAAGAGCTGATGTAAAATGGTAATCAAGGTTCCAGGCATCATGGGATTAGGAGAACTGAAGAACAAACCCAGCCAGGCTGCAGCAGCAGGCAGGATGCGCTGGCTCGATGAGGTGCTAATAAGGCCGTCGAATGCACACAGGAAGCCGGATTCACGGTGATCATCTCAACCTGAGAATCCTTCCTTGGGGTGATTTCCGCCCTTTTTTTTATTTTGTAAGTTTCCTTCATTCAGTAACTTAGTTTTCCCTTATTTCAAAAAATAAAACCAATCATCAAACAGGAACCACTTTTATAGGTAAGGTAAATCACAGGATAATGTATTGGGATAACTGTTCTTTTTTAAAATAAAAAAGCCTTATATGTTCAGGGATTGATGGAGTGGGGATGACAAATGCACATTTCAGACTTCCATCACGAATGAAAAAATAAAGCATTTTTATAGACTTAAAACTGTCATTAGTGCATTCAGATTTTGGAGAAGGAATGAAAATGTAAAATAATTCTACAACAATACAATATTAATAGAAATCGTCATGTGCTGAGGTCATTTTAGTGAGCTACCATTGTTTAAATAGAAGTACTTTCTTGGTCCTAATTAGTGAAATCTTTAAAAAGATTGCCTTTAAAGAACATTATTTGAGGACAATGTTTTTTTAGACACATTCTGATACTCAAATTCACTTCATAACAATCACAGATTAACCTTTAATGACACCTTTCTTAAAAAGCTGTCAGATTTCCATTTCTTCGGGAGACATTTTCACCAGTGTGTTGTTCGATTCCACAGGTTAAGCTTTCTTCATTATTATTAAGAACTTCATACATATTAGAGAGATTGCCATTCACCGCTTTCTCGTCTTTTCGAAAAGATACAGGCAGACTTGCTAGACTAAAGCTGACGTCTTTAAAGGCATGCAACAAGAATATCCCCACAATGATTGTAAAGAAGCCGCTCAAAGTACCAATGACATCGTCACCGGGCATATCTTGCCACTCCTTAAAAAGAATAGCTGAACAAGTTAAAACTGATGTTGTAAAGAATACATAATATATTGGAGTCACAATGGAAGTGTTGAATATATCCAGGGCCCTATTTAGGTAATTAATCTGTGTGCTCACGCAGACGATGAGGCTCAGCAGCAGAACCCAAGCCAGGGGATGCCGCAGCACAGGCTTTCCAGCAAACAGCTCCTTGAGAGCAATGCCCAGGCCCTTCACACAGGACACTGAAAAGGCGCCGATCACAGAGCAGATTGTTATGTACACAAGAATGTTTGTCTGTCCATGGCGAGGACCCACCGCGAAGATTAGTATCAAGGCCACAATGACCACAAGGGTTGCAAAGACCACAAAACCTAGAGGAGGCAAAGAAAAGTGACATGAGTCAAATGGTTGGCTGTTTGTAAACACAGAATGCAAAACAAAATGTAATAAACTCTCCAGGGAGAAAAGGTATGGCCTGGAAATAAAAAATCAGCTTTATTTTGCTGCCCAAGCAGAAGCGCAACCACAAAAATTTACTTAGATGGACACGCCGGAAGATGAATGTGAGCTTCACATTCATAAACTCTCACACCCCCAACATTGTTGCAGCAGCATTTTATGCCAACTTCAGGCAAGAGGGACAGTGGGATCAGAACAGAGACAGAAACTAGGGAGGAGAAATCATGAGGTGGCCTTGAATGTTCAACAATTTATAGATGCTTTAAAAACAAAATAAAAACAAAACAAAACAAGAGTTCATCATCAAGTTTTCTCTAAAAGGGGTAAACTTTTTTTTTTAATTTGCGGACAACTGCTGGAGTAACCAGCAAGTCAACTGGAGAACCTGAAAGATACTATTGGGGTTCTGGTTGAATATGGAGAATTAAAGCCAGCATGAAAATTGCCAATAACTGTGTATCACTGTGGGCTAGGCATTTTTCTCAGCAGTTTGCACTCAACTACCCTGTGTCACCGATACTACCATTTGCATCCTCGAATGAGGGAACTGAGGCCTAGGTAAGTCACATGAATTTATTCTTCCTTCCTCAAATTCCACGAATAAAATACACAGTAATAGGATTTTTAAAGGCACAAATACACAAAATTAAGAACAAAAGGCCAGGTGCAGTGGCTCATGCCTGTAATCCCAGCACTTTGGGAGGCTGAGGATGGTGGATCACCCAAGGTCAGGAGTTCGACACCAGCCTGGCCAACATGGCGAAACCCCAACTCTACTGAAAATACAAAAATTAGCTAGGCGTGGTGGCAGGTGCCTGTCATCCCAGCTACTTGGGAGGCTGAGACAGGAGAATCGCTCAAACCTGGAAGGTGGAGGTTGAAATGAGCCAAGACCACACCACTGCACTCCAGCCTGGGCGACAGAGAGACTGTCTCAAAAAAAAGAGAGGACTGAAGATAACAATCCTTCTAAGTCAGAAAGCAAAGGCTAATAACTGGTACACAGATCCAAGAAAGCTGAATCCTACACACCCACTGTGATCAAAGATTAAAAAGCAATTCAGTTTGCAGCACAGAGTGCCCAAAAGGTACCAAGTGCCTCTGAAGTGGGGTAAAGGCAAGACTGAAAGTGAAGCCTGGCTGAAAAGTCCGTTCAAGCAGCAAGGGGACTCCTGCCCAGTTCTGGGAGACTGTCCCTCCTGTGCCACAGAGTTCTGGGAAGCTGAGGTAAACCATGCCTCCAGGTGTTAACCCTTCCCCACAATCAACTCCCAGGATGCCCACAGCCAGCCATGAAACAGGAAGCTTTTTTGCTGGAGATCTGACCAGCCCAACTTTGACATAAAAGGAGACATCAGGCCGGGCGCGGTGGCTCACACCTGTAATCCCAGCACTTTGGGAGGCCGAGGCAGGCAGATCACAAGGTCAGGAGATCGAGACCATCCTGGTTAACACAGTGAAACCCCGTCTCTACTAAAAATACAAAAAAATTAGCCGGGCGTGGTGGCGGCACCTGTAGTCCCAGCTACTTGGGAGGCTGAGGCAGGAGAATGGCGGGAACCCGGGGGGCGGAGCTTGCAGTGAGCCGAGATCGCGCCGCTGTACTCCAGCCTGGGCGACAGAGCAAGGCTCCGTCTCAAAAAAAAAAAGCCAAAGACCACCAGGAGAGAAGCCAAAACAAACAGAAAAGGGCAAAGTCTGTTTCTCCCATGTAGACAGAGGAAAACTTCAAAATAACCGTCCCCCAAAAAACAAGAAAATTATTAATATCCTCAGAAAAACAAGAAAAACTATTATTAATATCCTCAGAGAAACAACGAAACAGACTAACCTGGCACCCCAAATACCTACAAACAATGAATCTACAACAACAAAAAGACCCCAAACAAACAAGAAAGATTTATTTGAGGGAATCAAAGAACCATCAAAGTAGCCAGGACTTAAGGGGCCAAAATTCAGAGAAAAGAAAAATCAGCCCAGCACTCACCTCTGCCTTCTCCTTTGGGGCAACTACTAATGCAAGGGGTGAGATGGCATCAAGGCCAATCAACACCGGCCTAAGCTTAAGGGGACTAGGTAAAAACAAGTTGGATTTTGGGGCTGCCTAAGCATCTGGAACTGAATGGACCAAGACCCAGAAAGGAGGGAACTATAGAGCAGTGAGCCCAAATGTCTGCATTTCCCCTTATGGTGCTTTCTGGCACACAAGCTGCACAGCCAAGGTCAGAGAAGCCAAATGGAAAGCCTGGCCAGGAGGCCACAGGACTAAGCAGGGATTTCAGCGTCTCAGGGTACTGAGGAGCAGACCCTGGAGCTCTCAGTTTCTCACAGCTGGCGGGGCCCAAACCAGTATCTGAAGCTATCAGCTGAGAGCCAAAGGGCTATGAACAAGAATAAAGGTAAACTGAGCCAGGTGCGGTGGCTCGTGCCTGTAATCCCAGCCCTTTGGGAGGCCGGGGCAGATGGATCACTTGAGCCCAGGAGCTCAAGACCAGACTGGCCAACCTGACAAAACCCTGTCTCTACCAAAAAAGACACAAAAATTAGGCCAGGCATAGTGGCACATGCCTGCCATTGCAACTACTTGGGAGGTTGAAGCAGGAGAATCACCTGAACCCGGAAGGCAGAGGTTGCAATGAGCTGAGATTGTACCACTGCTGTCTCTTATACACATCTAGATGTGTATAAGAGACAGACAAAAATTAGCTAGGCATGGTGGCGGGCACCTGTAATCCCAACTACTTGGGAGGCTGAGGCAGGAGAATCACTTGAACCCAGGAGGGAGGCAGAGGTTGCAGTGAGGCAGCGGTTAGTTAGCAGTGAGCCGAGATCACGCCATTGCACTCCAGCCTGAGAGACAGAGCAAAACTCTGTCTCAAAAACAAAAAAAGAGACCCATCAGGCAGGGTGCAGTGGCTCACGCCTGTAATCCCAACACTTTGGGAGGCTAACATGGGCGGATAACTTGTGGCCAGGAGTTCAAGACCAACCTGGCCAACATGGTAAAACCTTGTTTCTATCAAACAAACAAAAAAAATTAGCCAGGCATGGTGGCACACGCCTGTAGTCCCAGCTACTTGGGAGGCTGAGGTGGGAGAATCACTTGAGCTAGGGAGGAAGAAGTTGCAGTTAGCCGAGATCACACCACTGCATTCCAGCCTGGGCAACACAGCAAGACCCTGTCTCAAAATAAAATGAACCATCAGGCACCCAGCACAATGGACAAAAATGGACCCATCTCTGGGCATGTCAGTGGGAAATTTCAGACACTGTGGGGAAAGAGAACATCCTACATGCTTCCAAAAACAAAAAATTGGTCGCATATAAAAGATAACGGATAAACTGTTCAATTTCTCAACAGCGACATCAGAAATGAGAAGACAAAGGTGGTCACAATAGGTTAAAAACATTTTGAGATAAACAAGGTATCAAAAAATCTCATCTCTTCACGCCCTTTCTTGTCTCCTCTAGAGTGGCACCACCAGAATGAAGGAGCAAACACCCAGGATTCTGGAAATAAGGGATCTAAGAAAAAGCAAACTGAGGGAATCCCCAGGATGCTGCTGAAGGGAAATGCAGATAACTGCTGTGCTGGCAGCCTGGAGACACCCGCCTAGATTGAGGTCACACAGAAGGCACTGAGAGAAATTTCCAAAACAGATCAAACCAAGAACACCTCTGTTTGAAATTACTGACAGCAGAATAGTCAGCTGGGGGAGAGTTTCATGGTACAGTGATCAATTCAAAACAAACTACACAAACAAGATAATTATTACTTCTGGAAAAACAAATCATACAGGAAAGGAACAACCACCATAATAAAGGCTAAGATGAGAATAAAAGTTATGTATCAATGATAAGGTAAATAAATAAGCTCAATAAAACTATACAGGTGCAGTAAATAAAAGGTAAAACAGATAATGCCTAAAGCTAAGGAAGTAAGTAGTAGCAACAATATAAGCATGCTATTTGCAAAGAGTTGAAGAACAGTAGAAACACAGACTTGTGATTGACAGGAGGGAGAAGGGAACACAACGACTATTTGTTCTTCTACCACATGGAACAATTTCTCTCTCCTTAGGTGCTCATTAAATTTTGATTAACGTAAAAACTAAGGCAGGCGCAGTGGCTCACGCCTGTAATCCCAGCACTTTGGGAGGCTGAGGCGGGCGGATCACAAGGTCAGGAGATCGAGACCATCCTGGCTAACACGGTGAAACCCCGTCTCTACTTAAAATACAAAAAAACATTTGCTGGGAGTGGTGGCGGCGCCTGTAGTCCCAGCTACTCGGGAGGCTGACGCAGGAGAATGGCGCGAACCTGGGAGGCGGAGCTTGCAGTGAGCCGAGATCGTGCCACTGCACTCTAGCCCGGGTGGCAGAGCGAGACTCTGTCTCAAAAAAATAAAAACCTAAGTTAAAAAGTAAAATACAGTAAGACTAATGAGACTTTTTTCTTACCTGGATCACCCAGCTTGTGAGACATTTCATTTAAAGTCTCAATCTCCTCTTCCTTTGGAGCATGAATGACCATAACTGTAGATCCTAGAATACTTAGCAAACACCCGATTTTCCCATGAAGATTAAGTCTTTCATTTAGAAAGTATGAAGAAAGAATGGCACTAAAATGGGGAGGAAAAAAATTGGAGAACTTTAAAATAATCAGCTACTTTTCTTTTTCAAATATCAGTAAAACTCATAATTTAAATCACTGAACTCAAATTGTAACACTGAGCTTATGAAGATTCTGGTTTTGCCAAGAAAAAAAAATGTACATTTCATCATAAAATGTAAACACTTCGGCCGGGCACGGTGGCTCAAGCCTGTAATCCCAGCACTTTGGGAGGCTGAGACGGGCGGATCACGAGGTCAGGAAATCGAGACCATCCTGGCTAACACAGCGAAACCCCGTCTCTACTAAAAAATACAAAAAATTAGCCGGGTGACGTGGCGGGCGCCTGTGGTCCCAGCTACTCGGGAGGCTGAGGCAGGAGAATGGCGTGAACCCGGGAGGCGGGGCTTGCAGTAAGCTGAGATCTGGCCACTGCACTCCAGCCTGGGCGACAGAGAGAGACTCCGTCTCAAAAAAAACAAAAAAAGTAAACGTTTCTAGGGAATCATCTGCTTCATCATACACTACACTGGTATACTTCCCATCTTTCCACTGCAAGAAGTCAATATGAAATTTAAAGAACGAATTTGTATAAATGTATATCCTAATTACGAACCTATATCCAGACCAGGCACGGTGCCTCACGCCTGTAATCCCAGCACTTTTGGAGGCCGAGGCGTGCGGATCACAAGGTCAGGAGATTGAGAGCATCCTGGCTAACACGGTGAAACCCCATCTCTACTAAAAATACAAAACATTAGCCAGGTGTGGTGGCGGCGCCTGTAATCCCAGCCACTCGGGAGGCTGAGGCAGGAGAATGGCCTGAACCCGGGAGGTGGAGCTTGCAGTGAGCCCAGATTGCACCACTGCACTCCAGCCTGGGCGACACAGCGAGACTCTGTCTCAAAAAAAAAAAAAAAA